AGGACTGTGTCCACGGGGAGGTTAAAATTGGGTGGAACACCGATATCGGAAGGAAAGCATCACGCATGTCGAATGTTGATTGAATTGTGTTGGAAATTGTTTGCCCACCAACGCCGTAAAATATGCAACAGCCAAATAAGTTGGGGAAATTCAGAGAAAAAGAGAAAACATTTCGTAAATATTACAATTCATACTCAAATATTTTTGCATGTACCCATGACACGGGAATTATGTATTTCGGTTACTTAAAAGCGCGATATGCGAATATTGTACTTTTATTTTACCGCTGTTTATTTTCACTAATGGAAAAGTGGCCGTGCAGTCGTAATACCTGGATAAAATATACTGTCTCTGTACATATTTAATCGGCTTTCAATTTATTTGCATGTTATCAGCATTTAAAACCATTGTATTGATAGGTTCATATATCCCTTATGTTATGTTTAGAAAGTGTTTTGTTTAGTTTTCTAAACCAAACAAAACAGAGAAATCGTTTGACCAATATTTTAAGGGTTCAATTTTTATTAGTATTTCCTTTAATTAACTGGGAATCAGTAAATTGGTTTACTTATCCTTTTTAACTCACCTTTAACTGCTTCATTTCCATAGCCAAGTCGAGTATCTTCTTCGTGCCCAGAACATTAATATCAATGGCATCGCTCAGTTTCTCATTGAATTTCACCGAGGCCACAACATTGAAGACAATCTACAGACGAAGAAAATAAACCAGACCCACGAATTGTAATGCATATTAAAAATGAAAAGAACAAAAAGACGAGTTCCATGCAGAAAAGAAGAGCTCATGCAAAATGCACAAGAGATGTGCATACAAATCAGGAACGGTCAGTGATGGAAAGTCGACAGATTTTTAAAGTAGGTACTTCTTTTAATTTCAGTTTAAAAAAGTGTAAGGAGTTGCATTTTAAATGAGCTCGTTAGAAATTCATAGTAAAAGAAATAAAAAATCATAAATAAGATATGAATTATATTCAAAACTTTAGAATCAGTTACAAGCCTTAGATCTGTATCAATTATCTTGTACCTTGCCTACTTAAAATTGAAGAGTACCTTGTCCACCACTGGCAACCGCCAAAACGATCTGCTGGGGAATGTTTCGCTGGCGTTCTATGCTAACCTCAAAGTCAGCACACAATATGCTGAAAAAGAAGCTTCGACAGATGCAGCAGGTCCTGAAACAGGACACTGGAGCGGGAATGGGATTGGGAATGGGAATCCTGCAGTGCGACGCGTGCATTGAACATCGACAACAAAGCAATTTCAGCTTAAAACAGTGCAAGCGGACTCTAAGCAGAGAGCCACCAGGCCTGAGTGACTTGTATGCAAAATGTTTTCGCAAACACGGCACGGGAAACTGAGGAAAAATAAAAAGCGACCAACGGATGCGAATGCGGATGCGGATGCGGATGCGGATGCGCCCGGATGGCAGGACAATGGCTCGCGCATGCCGAGCACTTGAAGCATGCACAGGAATTTTCATTTATTTATATATTGTGTTTTATAACCAACAGCAGGAAGAGCAAAAGCAACAACAACAACAGCACCAACAGCCACTGCAACTGCAACAGGAGCAAAGCTGAAGCAGACGCCCTGCCAGGATGCTCTACACATTTTCACAGTTTTACGTGGCGGCGGCGGGTTTTTCAATTTTTGTTGAAAAGTAGAATACACATATATATATATATATATATATATATATATGCATGCATATCGTGTGCCTCTTGTGATCAGCAAAACAAAGCAAAGCAAACGAAAAAAAAAAAACGCTGGCGAGAAACGAAAGAAATAAACTGACTGGCTGGCTGGTGTTGTCGTAAACATTTCGCCTGCCTTTGGCATGCAACGCTTTACGTATACGTAATGCACAAACCAGTGAAGCCGAGGGGAAGGTTACGATAACTGAAGATGCACTTATAAAAATAAACAATAAATTTATAACAATTTTTAATGTTATAATAAAGTACACCTATTTTATAAAACCGGTTTCCTCATGCTAATTGTATAAAAGTCAGAGAAACCATTCTATTATTGAAAAGGAAAAACAGATTTTAACTCAACACAAAACACAATTTCAGTGTAAAAAGATACGAAACAGACAGGAATTGAGGGAGCCATCCAGATAGGCAAACACAACAAAAGCCCATGAAAAGTTTCTCACACAAAAAGTCCATTGATTGAATTGCCAACAGAGGAGTGGTAAACAGATGAAGTGAAGGGCAAGGGGAAAGGGAAGGGCAAGGGGAAGAGTGGGAAAGGCATCCACAAAACTTACTCACCTGGACCTCAGACGAGAGCATTGCTCGGTCGGCGGAATCAATGTCCAGGTCGATGGCACTGTAATCAGCGCGTATCGGATGCACCTTCTCCAACAATTGCGGTGACTCCTCGCGCATCCTATTGAATATCTGTTGGAGGCAGTGGCTGTAGATTGGGTGTTGCATGGCTTGGGTTGAGTAAGGGGCTGGGTTTTTATCCGACATTGTCCTTGCCTGCAGAACTGGCAAGGGGGGAGGGGAGTGGGGTGCCGTTTGACAGGCTCCCGCATCCTGGGCTCTGACACTTACCGATTCATTGAAAAAGCCCTGCAAGCGCTCCTGCACGCTCATATTGTCCTTGCTGCGTATCAACATGTAAATTTTACGCAATCCAAACGAGCGAAGCAATTTCTCTGTTAACACTTTGCCCACGAAGCCCGTTCCGCCCGTAATGAGTACGGTGGCATCGCCATAGAAATCCGTAACCGGTGTCGCACTGACAGCCGTGCAGAGTGGGCTGTTCGCCCGCGGGCTGGAGGCCGCCTCCTGGAAGACCTGCTCCTCCTCGTCCTCCTCCGGCTCCTGGCCACTGCCACCGGTTACATTGCTACTGCGCCGCGAGGAACTGGTGGACGAAAAGGCCTTGCGATTGCCTAAAGAGGTTTAAAAGGACATTAAATATTATAAATTAATAAATATTCAAATACATCAATAAAGCTTAATTGTATGTGTATGCTTAGATCCTTTAAACCTTTAAAGAAATTGCTATTTAAAAATCAAAAACCAAAAATCTTAAAACTTGGCTTGAAAACAGTAAAAGAATATTGATTGAAATAAATATGGATCGCTAAATTTTCCACTTGTGCTTCAATTTTGAATTACAGATTGATTTTTGTCTTTAACTAAAGCGAAATATTTAATAGATAGTGTATTCTAGCTAATTAAGAACTCAGACTTCACTCACTTTTATCGGGATTATTCTCATGCATTTTTTTAAACCGTTTTTTGTTCTTCAAAAATCGAACCGTTCACTTCAAGGGTAAAAAGCAAATTGACAAGTTTTCAATTTCAATGCGACTGAAAACGAGGATTTTAATCAATAAACGGCAGACATATATCGAAAAGATTTTCCCACCGCAGGTCAATTATATTAATATGGAGTACACACGATATGTATATATCCGTTCTAACCCAATTATACTATATCTATTTGTGTGCACGACAACCCCTTGCACTTTTTACTGCACGTATGTGTGGATTGTTTGAAATGCGGACTGCCGGGCATGGCTGACATTGTGGTTGCATTTGACCTGATGACCTGGCCGCAGGATGTCTGGCGGAAGGGAGACGCAGGATCAACCTGCCCGTTCACCCTCATTCCAGCCGCTTGTTGAGCCATTTTAAACAATGTTAATTATTCAATTATCAACAGCCAATGCGGCTGCCATGTGACCATGTGTCCTTCTAACTTCTTTTCACCGTGTGCGTGTGTGTTTTCAGAGTGTGGGTAAAGGTGTGCGTGTGCAGCCATATCCTCCGTCACAGTTGGTCCTTGTCCATCGCGTGAGAGAGTGCACGGCATATGTTGTTTGATTGCCAGCGAAAAATGAGGCGCAAGTACAACATACAGAGGAACACTGCAAAAAAGTTGAACAGCAGTTTAAAGTCACATTTATTATTTTTAAAGGGATAAAGCGGAACAATTGACAGCCAAGAAATATATTTAAAATATAACAGAAATATATATTTTCATTTGGTGCTTAACTTATAAATAAAATTCCTCTTTTTTTCCAGTGCACACACACATGGTGGCATACATCATTGCGTGACATAGTTGTGGTCATCGTTGCAGCCGTCATATATTTGTTGGCTATTGTCATTGTCCATACAGTCTGGTATTGTTTGCATTGGCATTAGGGGAAAACGGTTGGTAATCGGTGGAGGGTTGATTATGGCACAGACATTTAAAAAGCTTAAAGTTAAATTATTAATGACCGTTTAAACAGTGGCTGTTAAAAACATGACAACATTGCTTAAACATTTTGGAAACATTTTTTTTAGTTGTGGCTAACTTTTTATATGCGAATTCCTAAATAAATGTTGAACTCGGGGAAGATGGAACTTAAAGTTGTAATGAGTCAGATCAGCGCCAATTATATGTTTTTTTTACGAAACTTTAATATTATAAGATGGTAATTTGAAGATATTTCACCTTAAAAATATAAAAGCTAAGTTTAAGATCGGGAGGTTTAACCAAAGACACCTTTCATCGGGTAAAGAAAGCTTGACTTAACGTAAAGAAAGTTATATTTCCATTTTACATCAAATATAGAACTCTCACCCAAATCGACACCACCTAAGGGTTAAAGCTTTCTCTATGTCTTCACTGTGCCCACAAGAAACTTTAAAGCTTTTCGACCATCTTGGGCTTTTGATTGGCCATTTCCGGTTGGAGTCCCTACTAGATGGAAATCTTTTATGTAAAAAACGCTTTTCTCAAGTCAAAACACTTTTGTAACAAAAATAATTATTTTCAATTTTAAAGTTTTATAGCAGAGGGATGTAATTGAAAGATGAGAAGCTTCCCCTGGCCGCTCATTTAAATCCAGCCCAATGGAGCGAAAATGGCAATCCTTTTTATTTATACAATTAATGGGCATTGTATAAACAATAATAACTGTCCTGCATTGTAATTAAGAAAAAAACTCGTATATTTTGTTGGTTTGCTTAATGACTCGAAATGTTTATTCGTTTTCGTTTGGTAATTTAATACAATAATAATTACATTAATTAGCCTTTTTTTTTTTTAATGACAAGTATTGTACATTTCATTTGCATGCATCCAGCTGTGTGCTTGTGTAGGTTTAAATACATAATCGGATTTTTTGTTAAATAACTATTCAAATAATTTAGTTAAATCTACTTAATTGATTTCAGGTGCTTATTTCAATTAGTTTTTCTTGCCTTACATTAAATAGATTTGGTGAATTACGGTTTCAAATAACTTTAAAGAATAGATTTTAAACAATGCTTGGACAAAGTTCTTTGTTTCGATTTACATATTTTGTGCTTTAAGGAACGCATTTTAAGTTTACAAATTGTATAATACTGTACAGGACTCACGACCAGCACTCACACTCAATCAATACACATCCTTCTGCTAACCAATTATCAGCAATGGGATTTGTAATCACAATTCATTAAGACGAAATCACAGAGGTTAATAGTTATGCTCCAATGACACATTTTGTCCATAAACTTTTAATATATACAATGGATGTTTTAGGAGGTTCTTTTCATACACACTCTTTCCTATCTCTACTTAAAATATCCTTAGCTTTTAAGGTTTTTTTCTTATACTTTATGGATATGAATGCAATGGATTGCTTCAGTGAATTTATTTATTATCCACTCAAACATTCCATCCATGGTCAACTGTTTTATTCCATGAACATAAATACTCAACGTAATATTCTTAGATGAACGCCTTGCAAGTTGCAACTGTGTCACTGGAGCACGGCTATAACTTAAATCACTCTAGCTTAAATTAAAGTGGCTGCCACAGGGACTTTCCCGGCTCTTTTTCCTTCGCCTGAGCGGTGGGCAGGTGGACTCTGGACACCTCGCTCAGGATGCAGGTGCCGTCGCACTCCGTCTGGCTGCCGAACTCCTGTTCGCAAATGCAGCTGGAGTTCTCGCGGCAGAGCAGGGCCAACTGAACGGCGGGGGTTCCGGGTGCCAGTTCCTCGCTCGGCGGCGTCGTCGATGGCAATTCCATGAGTGCCACGTCGTCCTCGCATTCGATTACGTTCGGATGCAGGGGCTTGAAATTGTTGCGACGCCACGGCGGCATTGAGACACCTGCACCGGAACCGGAAACACCTGGACCGGCGGCAAAGGTGACCACGCTTTGATGTGGATGATGGTGGCCGTGGCCGTTGTTGTTCTGCCCACTGCCTCCGTGGAAAATGCCGCTGTTGGCACCGCTCCCGTGCACCCGAGGCATATGCAAGCCCGGCTTGCCGTTGTTTACACCACTATTGCGTGCCGGACCAAACAGATTGCTGCGTATTCGCATCGAGGAGTTGGCGTACGTCGACCGTATGGAACTGGCGCGGGTGTGCATCGAGAAGGTCCTTTCGTGGGCGTCCAGGCTTGTTTGGAACTTGCAGAAGCAAGCCGCAAAGCGTTTATTAAATTCCCTCTTGAACTTCTCCTGCATAAAAAAAAGGAAAAATGCGTGGTCTAGATTTAGAATTTTATCTTAAATTTTCATAAAAATTAAACTGTTTGGCAAGCAGCAAAGTGTATAATTCAAATACATACTATTCTTCAAAGTCATCTATCCAATAAAACTTTAATTCCATTTACACATCATAAAGTTGGAAATAGTTTTATTCACTTTACTCCTGTTTACAACTTTAAATTTTATGTTATTTTTTTAAGCTGTATGGTAAACTAATCCATTAAAAATATTTTTATTTTTCACTGGAAAATACCCCAAGGGGCAATACATAATTCACAGTATGCCAAAAACACATTTGCGGCTTTTCCAACAAACTAATAAATGTCTCTCAAATAAAATTTATTTTTGTATCAACTGTCAAACATATTTTTTCGCTGCACAAGCAAAATCAAACTTTAAGTCTTCTTTCCAGCTAATTAAAATGTGGAGTGGCAGGAATAAAATTGTCCGAGAAAATCGAAAGTTGCCGACAGCTGCTAAGGCATCTTTGTGCCTAATGAACGTGGTCTTGAAAAATCTCCACCTCCGTTCGGCTGCCATTCGTCTTCGGTGACAGTAAAATAGAATATTTGTTGACAAACTTTTCACGCACAGCCAGCAGAAGAAAAAGTTTACGAGCATTTGCAGATCTCGCTCTCAATCTATCTTTTACAGACAATTTAAGTGTCAAAGCAAACAGCCGTGGGGTTTTTTCTCGCTTTTCTCGCTTTTCTCGGCTTGCCACTTTGCCATTCCGACGATTTTTGTGGATTCGGCTGCAAATTGCGGGTTCAAAATTCTTGTGGCTCAGACTGTAGGTGTTTGCTTATTGGCTCAGTGGAGAGCTACTTTAATTAACTTCGACAAAGTATTTTTTTTGTTTCAGCTATTTTTGGACTTTTGCCAAAAGAGATTGGAAATTGTTTCAAAGTAGGCGGCATTTTTTTTTTTCTTTTTTTTTGAAGACATCGTTGAGGTTAATAAATCAGTAAAAAGCAATACGGAAAGAAATCAAAGCAAAGTCATCGATTTGCTTGCAATGAAATTTATGTTCTTGGAACTGCGAGTCCTTGAAACTTAAACAAAAGTTGTGTTACTTTGATTTGATGAGATAATAGAAAATAAAAAGTAAGTAGTTTAGGCCAAGAACATAATTTACTACTGGAAATTAGAAATAACTTTTAGATTTATGTGGTCAGTGCCATAAAATTAAAGACACACTTTACTCGCTTCAAAGGCTTTTCTTCAAAGGTTTACCTATTTAAGCAGAAATATGCTTAGCATAGCCTTTAACCTGTTATTTACGGACTGGAATGCTCACAGTATTTTATTGCTTTTATATTGAGGAGGGAAAAGCATCCAAAGTGGGTCATACTTTGAGGGGCTTTGCACGTGTGAAAAGCAGTCCCTGCCAAATCCGTATGTCAATATTGGACTTCCCCCAAAAACTAACCGAAAATGGCCTTAAGTCCCTCGTCAATCCCTGACTATTCCCAGGCAAATTTAGTTTCCTTTTATAGACTTATATTCGTGTTCGTTTAGTACGTCCACAATAAACATGTCCCTGTGGAAGCACTTGGAACTAAAGGACGGCAATCAAAGCCCAGACAGGCAAATGCAAATTCAACGCTCTGCAAACAAATCGGGACAAGCAATCATCACCATTGAGGCGCACTCACGTTGTAGATGCCATAAATAAAGGGATTGTAGCAGCTATTGCTCATGGCCAGCCAATCGCAGCAGAACCAGACGATGCTAATGAAATGGTAGTCGTTGATTTCCGGGATCGTGACGTACAGAATATTATAGAGCTGCAGCGGCAGCCAGCACAATCCGAAGATAATGACGACGATAATCAGCATTTTTATGACCTGCAAGTGGCGGCAGCGGTGAAAAGGAAATTAAATCCCGGTCGGAATCGCAAACCCCTCGTGCCGCCTTTTTGCTCGCTCACCTTTTTTTGTTCTTCAACAGGGTGATGTCCCGAGAATCCTGTGCGTTGCCCGGGGCACGAGTGCCCCACAATCGCACCGCCATCTGGATGTAGACAAAGCTGATGACACAGAAGGGAACCAGATACTGCACAAAGACCAGCGAGTAGCGAAAGGACTGCAGTTGATCATCCGATAGGTTCTTGTTCATGCAAAACGGTCTCGTCACATTGAAGGTCTCATTGTTCTCTGCACCATCGGGGATAATAATTGAAATTGGCATTAAGTCCCAGGTAAATGGCGTGGACTTACCTCGAAACCTTTCGGTCAACTCCTCCACACGAAAGGCAATGGCGAAGGGCACCGCAAACAGCAAGGCCAGCATCCAAATTCCACCAATTATGAACTTGGATATGAACTTTGTGGGACGTGCCCTGCATGTGTAAGGCGATTTTTAATGATTGACTCCATGCCGAAACGAAAGTGGGCTCTGCCTCCAACTCACCTAAGTGGATTAATGATGGCTCGATGCCGATCGATTGCGATGGCGGTCAGTGTGAACACCGAGACATTGACGCTCAAAGCCTGAACGAAGGGACAGAAGCTGCACATGAACCACGGCAGGTTCCAACTCTGCAGCAGTGCAGCCTGGAACTAAAAGAGGAAACAGTAATTTAATTAACAGATATCAATTTCTTAATTTAAATTTAAACCTTAAATGCTCATAACATATTTAAGGGGTTTAAAACAATTGTTGTTCTCATACAAGTAAATGACTTTTTTATGGAAAGGAATAATTTCAAAACTGCATTTAAAATCAAAGAACAAATTTGCTCACATATATATTAAATATCTTTTTAATATTTTATAAACATGCTATTTTTTTTTATCCACATACTTTAAAGTTCGCCAAGCAGTTTCTCAGTGTACATATAAGAGCCAGGCACATGTTACTGTGCGTGCGATGCGATTAAATCAACGATACCTAAATTGCGCCACCATTCAAGTCACATGGCAAACATCATTAATGGACAGTGGACCGCAAACAACACGAGTCTGCGGGGGTGTTTCGTGTTGGCCGCTCTCCAACAATCCATGGGCAAATAAATGGCCGAAATCTGTGTCCAGTTGTTTTGCCCTGATTTACGTGGAGGGGCGTGCGAACGTGTGCGGTTGCTGCGGATATTTGAGGAACGCGCTTTCTCCACCCAAAGGACGCCGCAAATTGCAATTTTCTCGCCAGCTTATTGATGACACTCGCTGTCCGCTATGACAGCAGCGAATATATATGTTTGAATGCAGCATTAATATAAATTAACTGCGGAAAGTGAAGGCTGTCGGTGGCTCCAGCTCAAAGTGCCAGCGAATTCTTTAAATCACCTTAATTGGAAGTATTTGCTTTCATTTATTTTTAAAAACTTTTTAAGCGTGTGTGATTGTTTTTCAACTTCTTTATTAAATTTGATTTGCTAATTGTTCCCTGGCCATTCTAAACAAAGCTGCCTTTTCAAAGCGAAATTTGTTTGCCTTGAGCCCTCAATAGCTGAACCAAATCAATTGAATATAATGGCCATACAATTTCCCAGTATCGTGAAAAAAAACATTTTAATTCGCATTGACTTGATGCCGCCAGCAAAGAAGAGCAAACTGTAGAGATGGGGCGAGAAAATTGTTCACTTGGCTTTTAGCACTTTATTTTTCAGTGGCTTGTATGTAATACTAATCCCATTAACACGTAAACCGAAAATCGCATTAAAATTTAAAGTAGGTAATATTCCATCACCACAGATCTGCTGTTTGGCAGAGATGGAAGGACGGCTCTCGCCGGCCGGAAATTAAATTGACGCTGGATTATGCCAAAATGGATGTCTCTGTTTCATGTGCGGCTCTAAATCTGTGCGTGGGCCCATTAAGGACTACCTATCAATGGCGAAATTAAGTGAAAACTAATGCTAATGTTGGCTTATGTGATTTATGCATACAAAGTGACACCCCAGCCGCACGCGAAAACCATTTAAGTAGAAATCCATTTAGCAGCTCAACACTGCGTATACGCAATGTATTGTGCATGTAAAATAGGCCTAATTATGTGAAATGCAATTATGAATGGCTAGGGCGACTTACCTGAAATGGTATGCAAAAGAGGCCAATGATCACGTCGGCAAAGGCCAAATTAGCGATGTACATGTTGGTAACAGTTCGCATCTGCCTCGTGGTGGCCACAACCCAGATAACCAGGGTATTTCCGATGACAGCCACAATGCTGATGCCCCCATAGAAGATGGACAGCAGGGCCACAATCTCAGCGGGGGCCGCGTACAAGCGCTCTGCGAATGGATTGGAAATAGTTATTCCACCGAGCTATCTCCACTCCAAAAAAATGGACAAAGTGAACCTTTAACAAGTTTATTAAAGTTATTCTTATTTTTTGGTTATTTGTCTAGAAGTTTCCGTTTTATTAAATTTAACAAATTTATCAAAGCTTTCAAAGTAACTTAAAATTGTTAAATTCCTTAACTGTATTTTTAATATAAACTCCTTTTTAAACAAGTCTCTGCAGCTATATTTACAATTTAAAAATACTCATTAAAAAAATCCAAACCTCTATTACTAAACTGGTTTGTTTAAAATAAAATATTTTTTTTGCACTGCATCCTTAGCCATGCGTTTTAAACTTGTGAAAAATCCCGCCTTTCTGACAGTTGCAGATTAATTCGTAGTGTCAGTTGTCAGTCAGTTGGAGACAGGACAGGCGACATTGACATTCCTGCTGAGTGGTAAACGTCAAGGAAATTGAATCGGATTTATAATGGCAGACAGTAAAGTATACAGTCAATTTAGAGAAGCCAAATACTGATATTGATAGTTCAACTTCTAAGAGGGTTTTTATTAGCATTTCAAAGTCTAACAAATTCATTAAATTTAGGTGACCGAATATCTTCTTTGCAATACAACCGAAAAATCTCATGAATGTTTTAACATCAAAGAACTAACGTTCAAAACAAAAACAAACTTGTCAAAGTTTTGATTGATGATACGTCGAGTCAATTTAATCCCGTTGTATAAATCGAGTCCTCAAGTTGATCAAAGGGATTAGGAAAATGCTCACCAAATTCCGCTTCCTCTTCGGCTCCGGGCAAAAATTCCAATCGGGATTCCTGCTCGATTAAGTCCATAGCCATGACACTATGTTTTTGTTTTGGTTATCTATCCTAATGAGAATATAATATTCCCTTAAGCTTGTACTAAATTTCCCTTTATACTCTTATGTCGAGCTATACATTTTCAGCGGCTTCTTGGCATCTTTGCAATCTAAAATAGAAAGATATAAATTGCCGCATTAATAAAAGCTTGGAATAAATTGGTAAAAAAGTTATCAGCAACCATTCAGGTGGTCGGAGTAAATCACAAGTGCAGACAGCAAGAAAAACAAATGACCCAAAATAACATTGAAAAGCCAAACAAGCAATTTTACTTTCGCCTCAAGGAACTAACAAAATTTTGTGGGTGGACATGAGTAATGGCTCAGGTGGAATCATCTGTCAGCTTTCTCATGTGGAAAGTTTGCTTTGTATAATTAAAAGTGCACCACATTTGACCGAGTACAACTTTTTGACCGTGGGCAATGCAACAGATTTTTGCTTGGATTTCGTTCCTAAGGTAAACAATTTCACCTTCCCAATAGAATTTTCATGTTTTTATTGAGGAGTTACGCCAACGCTCGTATGTTGAACCACTCGAATTAAGGTGGTTCCTAAATAACAAACAAAAAACTGACAGAGTTTGTTGAATGATTGTGAATTAGATTCTCAGTGCGGTTGATTGGCCATTTATCGGATTGTTAACATTGGGCGACTTGTTAATTTATCTTCTATAGTGTAAACACTGTCAAGACTTGTTAATTTATTGGGCAGCTAAATATTTTATTTACTGCCGGACGGAAGCTTTATTAAAATATGTTAGATCAAATGCGGCTTTTTATTTTCTTATTTTAAGTTCACTTGTATATATGCAATTAGATATTAAAACTTCCAATAAATACAAAGCTATGATCCAGAAAAAACTTTACCTTAATTCGTTGGTACACTTTCTACTTACACACATAAAAAAAATGTTATAACATATTCGTAAAGCGAGATTTTTTTAAAGGAAGCCCTTTGCGCCACAATTTGAGCCTTTTGTTATTTGGCCACAAAGACCAGGTGGAACCACCCTATAGCATGGTCACAAAATTTCTAACACAACCACTCGTAAATTTTGTGCTTTTGTAGTTGCACCTAACATATGCGAACATATTTTGGACCACTTTATGGGCAGTACTCGATGAAAATACGAGCTTGAAGCTGCCTTTTACTTGATATTGTCATTTGCTCTCTAATCCTCTTTGACTGCCAGCCCAAAATCCGAAAAATGGACCCATTTTCCAAAGCTTAAACCGGGCTCCAGAAAATGCGTCAGCTTAGGTTCTTATACGATTTTTCAAGTGAAAGTCTGGAAGGGGACGTTTTTATTGAATGTGGATATGTGTGGAAAACCATCGCCACCGCCAACTCATTTAGTTAGCGCTTTATCAGCTCAAAAGGTTCAAAGCCATCAAGGCCAAGCCAGAAAGTGGTTTTTCTGCGGTTCTTATGCAAAGATTCGCTGCAAGCTGTTTGAGAAATTATATACAATTTTTCAAAAGCAAAAAGGGCGAAGGAGGGAAAAATGGGAGAGCTGTGTTATCCTGTTTATGTTGTGCAATTAGTTTGGCCATGCGAGACACCAAGATTTTCTAATTAACGTCAAAGAAAAGTCTCTCTTTGTTCGTGTCACTCTAGTTTTGCTTTGAATTTTGATGGTCAACTAATTGAGAACCAAAGATTTTCGGGCCATTAAGCTGACGTATAGGTTGGTGCGGGTTTTCTATTTACTTTGTTCACTGTAATTAATAAAAGGTTCTAAGCAAAACCAAAAGCATTGAAAGCATTAAAGTCACTTTTACTTTCAAATATAATTGCAAGTTTTTCAAACTATTTTTTTTTTTTTAATTTTGTATAACCCTTTCATTCTTAAGTATAAAGAGTTTTTGGAGGAACTGTTATCAATGAAGATAGTTCAATATTTGATTGGAATATAGAGGACTTAAATTAATTACAATATTTCTCCCGGTGTTCGATATCCCAGTCGGCTTGAAAAGTGCTGCTGGAGATTTCCCATGAAACTCACTTGAGCACACACTCAAGAACAAAGCAACTGGGATTCATGTCACCCGGGATCTAGCCATTAATTTGTGAAATTTACAGACTTTTGACTTCACACAAACAAGAAACACGGATGGCACGTGCGTCCGGGCGAATACCTTTCGGGATGAGTTCGGTAAATTAAATACAACATTTTTGGATCGAAATTGTTGTTCAAGCAGCGAATATTATTAAAAAAGTATCCCATTAAACCGTCATGGGAACATCAAAGAGGAAATTCATATTGGATGTCAACGTGTAACGCAGCATCGAAATTTGGGACCATCAGCGAGCCAGTTGGCAACAATATTGTATGATATTAAAGCACCCACGTCCTGCTCCTTTAAATAGCATCGAGCATTGCGCATACGACACATAAGCCGAGGAACAACAGTCGCATTATGGCCGGGCTTATACCATCGCAAAGCAAAGGCTAAGACCTAATGAAAAAAGAAAGGAAAGGGCAACATGTCCAATAAAAGGGCAACTCCAGGCCGTTCCACCATTATACCCTTTCGGGGTATGGTAATATTTCAATGAGTGTTTACCACGCAAAAAAAAAATTTATTTCACATGATGTATGGTGGTAATAAAGTGTGAATGCTGACACAAACTTTTGTACAAAATTATTATCATACATTTTTTGCTCTTGAATTTTAAAGCAAGACTTATTGCTCATACGAAACATTTGACAAATAATGATAATTTTCTACTAGAAATCACATTCCCTTCACATAAGTATGAAATTCTCACTAAGCTATGTATTCATATTGCAATTATATTCAAATTAAATTAGAAACATTTTATAATATCCATAAATTAGTTACTAACCCTCTATTAAAACTTTTTGGGATACTTGTGTCCTATTTATTTTAATGCAGGGATTTAAATTCAAGGGCATTGAGAAATTCGGTCCAGATACCTAATCCCTATTTTTTGGCTTTTATTCTATTCTATTTGTGTGAGGTGAGGAAAAGGGACCAGGCCAAAGCTTAAACATTGAGCGTGAAATTCTGGGGAGCTCGTGTGTGTCTCTTTGTTTACAATGCCAACGGACTTTCGACTTAAGCCTGAACTTAGACGGCGTGTGTTTACGGTTTCTGGTTTGATTGGTCTTTTGGGATAAATGTTTTCGGCTGTCTAGGCTTATTTTAATAAATAATCACTCGGTTGAGCGCAGATTGTAATTAAGATTGCTGCTATTTCAGCTAATGTGTCAAAGAGATGTTGATAAACCATGACCGCCACAGGAAATGCCACAAAAAGTCCAAATAACTGGCTAGAATTCAAATCCTTTGAGCTGGCCTTATCCTATTTGATTGTTTTGGAGGAAAAGTTTCCTTATCCTTTTCGTGCTTTATTACTTATCATTTTGGGACTTTTAATGTTGTTTTCATGGCGTTGACATTTTCGATTTGAGGAGGACCGGAAATTAGCTGACCCTCTTCTAAGCAAATGGCAAATGGCCACTTGAGACTCTGCTCAAAGGCGGCTCAATTAAAAATTCATTTAACTTGAGGCCCCAGGGGGGCAGGTAAATGATTCCAGGCGGCTAACTAATTGGCGTAAAGCAAGATAAAATGTTTTCTCACAATTGCTGACCAAAAAGGCTTAGGCAACATCAACAATTCCGTTCAAAGCTCCAGATAAAATGCTCTTAACTGCCGGGCGACAGAAACTTTCCCACAGTTCATTTAACTGGCTCCTGTTACAATTTTCTGGCTCCTCGGTTCAGCTATCTCACGCCGGGAATGTCCATCAAAGGACCTTGTTAAATGCCCCCATTATGGTCGCCGCTTCTTTGACGTTGTTTGCGTAATATCCTGTCAATTTTATGGCCCCCTTTGCTGCTGTTCTGCCACTTAAGAATGCCAAATGCTAAAATTAGTAGGCCCCAAATTCTTTTAAAATTAATAACAAAATTATGTGGAGCGCCGATCGCCTTTTCTGGCATGCCATTCAATTGCGAATTACAGCCATGGATGCTATAAAAGAAAATGCCCCAGGTGTCCGGCCCTTCGGACACGTGGCCCGTAAAATTCCAGAGATGGTAGCCAATTATTGAACAGGTCACGAGCCTTCCATTTAAATGAATGAAATTTTTTTAATAGGTAGCTTAGAAATATCAAGGTATTTATAAAACCATGGATACCCGTATTGTGTAAGATTCTTCTTAATGTACAAAGCTTGAATAATTATTTCCTTCTCACGGCAGATTGGCAAACAATAATATTGTTGCCTTGTAAGCCTCTAGCACACAAAACGAGCCAAACTTATTCCTTTCCAGAAAACAATATTATTACAATAGTAATTAGAAGCTTTCGTTATACGTTTTGCAAGATTTTGATTACCCTTTCGCACGTCACGCGATCGGAATATAAAACAAATAATAAAGAAATAAAAAGACCCCTTATCAAAACGTAACCAAGAAAATATAACCCCGAAAAAGGTGAGAACAGAAGGGGGGAAGGGGGGGAAACTAATTGTTATAAATGTGAGTGTTACCCGCAGGTGCTGTGGATCTGGTAATAACGAAACTTTCTTCCGACACTCACGCCCGAAATGCGTTTTCACCTTAATTGTTATTAATATAGTTTCACTTTATTTCACTGCGCCGCGGGCCACAATTAACTTTTCCATGTGAAAATTTAATTAAAAGTAAGAGTCCGTTTAAGAAGTTTTCATATTCGGCTTTCGTGGCTTTTCTTTTTCACTTTCGCTTAGTAATTCGGTTTTCGGTCTTTTCAGAGGAGGCAGCTAAGCATCCTGGCCGCACGAGTTCTCGTTATCAACTGTTGGCAGCAGGCGCATCTTCGGGTTGAACAACTGTTGAACTGTTGGCAACACGCTCACGAAGCCAAACTACGAACTTCAGCCGATGTTGGATTTTCCAAAGGACAAGAAAACGAGCCAGTCTAAGAGGAAATTCAAGTCGGGGATTTTGGCACTCAAAACACAACAAGTTGTACTTCAAACCTGTTGGCCATCAAACACGTTCCGCCGACCCTTAAAGTTAGCAATAAGTAGCAACAAAAGAAGAGTATTTCGCCCACTGAATATATATATAATATATATATAAAAGCATTAATTTATGTTGCTCATTTTCATTCCACTAGGAAGTTTATGCTGATGAAGCTAAGTGAAAAATTAGCAAGAGAAGTAATAAGCAATTAAAGAGTGTTCTCCGCTCTAACGGAAAAACGGGTCGAACAAATTTGGTAATAGCAGGATTCTTGGTATTTTTCTTTTTTTTTGCACTTATCACAGATTTCCATGTCATCAGCTTTAACGCTTCCCGACACCTTGACACCGAACACTAAACCCCAGCGGCTGAGCACATTCTGATTTGCATACAGACCAAGTATGGTATGTATATTACCTCTTGTGGCATGCTCGCGTTTTTTGAATGGGAATTAAATTACATATAATTCTGAGTAAGCGGAAGGAAAATGCCGAGATATTTACCATTCTTATGCTTTTTTGTGCACCGAGCACATGCAAATTTTAACGGAAAATGTGGCGGAAATTGAAAAGAGATAATCCCAAAGTGCTCTTTCCCACACAACAAAATAACGCCAATTGATTGATGTCAATTTGAAGGGCAGAAAGCCTGGCCAATAATTCGCGGAAATCTTTAGAAACATTTGATTGCAATTAATATTTCTTAGAACCGGAAATTCATTTCCCTAACGAGTTTTTTTTTTGTATTGTACATCTCCCAGAAGGTTTGAGCTTAAATATTTAATAGTTTGTGAAGCATGTGTGACTGTTGCGAACATGAGGCATCCCTTTTGGTCGAGATTGTGGAAAATATTTATTAGGCAAAGCACGTTCGCTCGCAACTCATTAAAATGTGAAAACCCTTTAAAAAAAGAGCACGTCCCTTTGATTAAATTGGAACAAGTTCGAGATTAAAGGCAGGGTTAACAAAATTAAAAAAGTTGGCCACATGTGCGCATCTCTACTTTAATCAAAAGAAATAAAAAACCATTTGATGAAGGCCTTCAAAATTGTGTCAGGTTTTCTTTTAAGGACACTTAAAAGATAACCGTAAACAGGTGAAAGGCAGACTACAATTACAGTCCTGGAACTGATTGTGACACGAATCCGCAATCAAATGTCGACCAGAAATGTTCGAGTACGGGAAAATCGTTTTCTACGGGTGGTGGCTGGCCTGTCATATTAAAATTCATCTGATTTTGTTGGGAGAGGTAAATGAAATTGTCGAACGACAGGTGCAAATAGGCCATAACAGTTGTCGCTGATGTATGCTTGTTAGACTGAAACATTTGCGTGTCGATAGAAATTGATTTCATTTCACGTTTCACGCCCACTCAGCATGAGATTTTCCTACTCCAGACTTTTCCCTTCATCCCGTTTCAAGTCGCATTCCGCACATTGCGATCAAAACAAATACCTTTCATGGCAAAATAATTTTAAAATTACAAATATGCAAATCAACCAGCCTTGCGGAATTTAATTAAAGTGTCGACATCCGAAGAACGAATTATCAAACTTACACACATGTTCATAACAGTTGCTCAATCAATTTAATGCTTACTTCATTGGTAGGGAAAATTGAAATGTTTGGTTTGGAAATGTTGACTCAAATCAAATTTACATATCGGGCACATTTTGCTTGCATCACTTGGCAGTCGACGAAGCAATTGAAGTGCATCTAATTTTGCCCGCTCACAGTTCACAGGACCTCGAGGGAGCAGTCGCCCAGACAAGGGATTGCAATGGCAATGACATACCTAAATCAAGTTAATCAACACATTTAAATACACATAAACGGCAGAGAGACGACAAGAGCCCATTTTGCACGTTTCTGCCCTGCCAAAAAAGCCAAAGAAATGCCCGGACAAAATCCCACATCTAATCGGACATCTCGAGTGGCAAAAAGAAACCCCAAACTTAATCCCACTAGGAATATACTTGTTTAGTGAAAGCCAGACAGGCAGAAAACAAATTTCACAGTCCATTGTCTGTTTCTTACTGCTGCAGGTACACCGACACACAAAATAAATATTTAATGCAACTAATTACTGCCCGAATGATATAAATATTAATAGAACTTGTGAGTGGAACGTCTAGACCTGATGTATGCTTTTTCCCCTGCAAATCAAGTCGTTAATGACAATGGTTGAAGATATCATCAATTGAATACGTGTGTCCTTGGGTCGAGAAAGTGACAAACGTGCCTCACCATTAATATTTAATCACGACAAGATAATCACTCAATGGAAATAATGGGGTTGATATATTTGGGGTTTGTTCTCTAAATAGCTGAAAATGTTGCAGCACTAAAGGAATGCTAATGGAATTTAATTGCATATTTAAAATGGATTTTCTTTATTTGATTTTATGAGCATACCTAACGCGGGTTAGGAATTTTACAGCGTGTGCTAATTATGGCTTCCTTTTTTCCCTCTTACCCTCCTCAACTAAATGAACCTTGCCTTTTAAGGTTATTTATATAGGCTTTATTATGCTGTCCATCAATGACATGGCAACTGACGTATTTATTGTCATTAATATTTAATATTATTCATCGAATATGATTGGCGTTAGTCAATTTGTCTTTCAACTATATTCGGGTGGAATAAACGTAATTGCTTTACTTGTTTTTATTTATTGAAAAGATTTTCCGCACAGGTCAACAAGCACAAAAGTCGTCACTTGAAGGTTTCGAGGCCAAGTTTATAAAAAGATACAGAAAATCATCTTCCCTAAACGATTTCCATTCGTCTAAAAATAGTTAAAATTTATTCACAAGTGACATTGAACTGCTGACAGTAAAAAAATGTAATTCCCGGAGAAAAATGTCAAAGATTTGCAAATAATTGCTATATTACAATCTGCAGACATTTTAAGTAGAGACTATGCCAACGGAGGGTGGAAAATTTGCATTGGCTAAGAGCTCCACTCAACAGAACATTGTTGCTTGGCAAAAGGGAGAACCCCTTTCTTTTCAAACGCGTTAAAGTAACACGAAAAACAAGCAAAAAATTACATGTTTTCAATAAAAGTCAACAAGCGAAGAAAAAAAGAAGAAATATTTAAGTGGCTGAGTGCGTGTCGGTATGAGCATACAGGACCTTGACAGATGGTAAACAGAAGCCTGTTGATAGACACAAACTCTTGAGAGAAAAATAAATTTCCCAGAGGATTGAAAATTTAATATAATTGGTTGGCAGTTGTATAAAACTCTACGCTTTCACCAATCGTGGCAAAATTTTAAGCATGTGCAGACTTGGGCAATAAAATAAAAAGATAAAAAAAGATAAAATTCTTGAAAATCATATGCTTTTCAATAATATTTAACTACCGCAAACTAAACATTCAATTCTTACCAAATCGTTGAATTGTCAATTTTCAAATTCAAGATATTAATAGATTGTACTTGAAGTTTAACAAATTAATTGAAAGACTTTTCACAGTTCTCAAGTTTAATTCAAGAATCTTCATATTGCAACCACTTAGAGTTCTCTGCACTTCTGATCAAACCCACACTTGAAAGTTCTTTAAACTTTCGATGGGGCGTCCTTCACAAATCCCAGAAAAACTCTTTAATTATCAAAAGCATCTGCTGTGCGTTCAGTGAACCTTGCAACAACCTTGAGTTGAGCTCGATTCAATTGAGTTTCCCTTGCACAAGTTCAGCTAATTTTTGAGCAAGCATTCGCATTCGCAGCTAATACAATTTGCCATTGCAAATTCCAACTGTTCCTTGACCTTTCTGCCAAACAATGGCACCCGAGAAGCGCTTCCACAGAAAAAGGTGAAACAACAAAGCCGGCCAAGAAGAGCCGAGTCCCAGTCCAATGATCCAATTAAACGATGCAAACCTGACAAAGCATCGCAAAAGCATTATCAAGCTATGAGCGGATATGTTGGGGTATTTTTAAGTGACAGAATGTCCTGGCGGAAAATATTGGTAATATTGGAACAAAAGCAAAAGGAATGAATAAAAAGGAGCATGTAATTCGGAGAAAAGCCCATCAGAGACAGGACCTAACAAATACGTTTTAAAAGTGTTTTCGTGTTACGCAAAATAAGATATTTTTGGAATTAATATCTGCGGTTTAAGGAGCCTTTGTAAACGAAGAAACCATTTTGCTGCTCTCGTAAGTATACTATGAAATTGCCTTTAAATTTATGGAAATTGGCAGCCTCAACCGCATGTAAAAAGCACGTTCTTTCACAACTTTGGCGGCTCAATCTGCAGCATAATAAATAAAATAAATACATTAATGAACCCAGTTAATTATGAAAAAGAAGTTGAAATTATTTATCCATTGTTACCGCAGAACTTTCAGACCTTTAAGCTCAAAGGATGATGTAATTAATTGTGTTATGCGATACCCAGACGAACTGCGTGGGCAACGATGACTGAAACCAACCTGAGATAAATACATTTAATCAAACACTTTGCCCAAAACATCATTACCCGCCTTTATAATCAACATCGTTAGTAATTAGTGGCTTAGCAATAAGAGGCAAAATTCCAGAGAGATAGAAACCAAAACAAGGGATGGGCTTTTGGTTAGGAAAGAAGAGTAAGCGCGTTGGCTATATGTCTTTATTTCA